TCAGGACGGGGGGAAGGATCTGTGCCACAGCCAGGAGCTGCCAGTGCACATGCAGTCTCACGGTTGCAAGTTATCACTTAAGCCTATTTCTGAGCTGGGGGGGAGCCTTACTTACTAAAGAACTGGCAAGTTCTGGCAACAGCAAGCTGGATAGGGGCCTCTTTCTGCCCAGCTGCTGGGGAAAGCAGGCGATCAAAATCCCTTACCATTTTCCTTCTGGTCTGGACTCCAATTCCCCAGAGAAGCTGGAAGGCTTTAGAAAGAAGCCCCTTCTGGCTGGCTCCAAGCCTACTGTACTTCACTCTCTCCATCCAAGTTTTAACCCAGATAAACCTTGCCTTGGCTGCTTCCCTCACTCCTTCCTTCCCAGGACTCCTGGAGGAAGAAGCACTGCCTGGAAAAAATGCTGTCACCACGAGAGCTCCCTGTGGCTGGGAGAAAGGCAGAGGGAACAGGGAGCTCCTTCCCTGGCTGGCCACAGCACGAGACTGTGTTCCAGGAAGAGCAAGAGCAAGAGCGACTGCCAGGGAAGCCTCAGACCCAAGCCCCTCTTCACCAGCAATTGCAGGCCTCTGGGAGACCCCACCCCCACCCCAGCAAAACTCCGGTTCTCCTCTGACAGTGGCAACTTTCTTCTTACATAATTCTTGGTGTTTCCTTTGCTGTTGCACCTAATTTTAATGGGTAAAAGAGCCAAAGCAGTCTTTGGAGGAAAAACTCCCACCCCTGGCTCTACCCAAACCTCCCCTGAGGTCACACTGTGAGGCTTCAGGTGAAGCAAACAGGGGACTTTTTTCCCTTGGCTGAGAAAGCAGCCCTTCCTCCTGCCCATCCACGTGAGCAGCTCAGCCTGGGGCCTGGGAGGGTAGGTTCCCAGGAGCACAATCTGATCTCTGGGAAAACGGGCCCTCAACTGCAGGGACAGAGTCCCCTCAAAGGCGCACAGACACCAGGCCTGGGCCACATGTCTGGGGTGGAGTAGATCGAGCAGTTGTTCCCAGGGCACAATGAACTTCATTTATACAAGCCTCAGTGGCCTGAGATTGCTTTCCTACTACAAGCATTTCCTCTTCCTTGATAGGAGCAAAAGGCAAATGCACTGGACTCAGTGGGAACTGATGAAATGAGAGTTGCCATCTGTTGAATACCTAGAATGTGTCACTTTGCATGCATAATCCTGTCTAACCTTCATGGCCTATGAAGTATCAGTATCACCCACATTTTACAGGTGAAGAAACTGAGGCCCAAGAAGTTAAGCAATGCCCAAAGCCACAATGCAAGAGGAGAGGCTGCGGTATGAACCCAGGTCTGCCCAGGCCACATTCTGATGTACCCACCAGAGTTCCTGCAGTCATTGCCCAAATGACTGTCCACACACCATCCAGGAATGGCGTTTTGAGTAGGGGGGCAGAAGTCATCAAGAATTTTGCTTGATGGCTCCAGAATCTGATCTGATGCACCAACTATTATTGCTCCCAAGTGTGTGACTGTGAGAGCCCATGTCTCTCCCTTTCTCTCTCTCTCTCTCTGTGTGTGTGTGTGTGTGTGTGTGTGTGTGTGTGTGTGTGTGTGTGTGTTGAGGTGGAGGGAGGGTGATCTGGATTCCAAATTGCAGTTTCCAACATTAAAATTATGCTGTAATGCTTCTGATTCATAAAATGAGCTCATAGTCTCACCATATCCTGAATGTTGCTTCGAATGCAAATGCAGATAGATCCCTTAGTAAGAACTGGGGATTTCAGCATACTCCACCCTAGCCTCAGCCCAGCATGCAATTTTTCAGTCCCAGAGTCAAGAGGTCTCATTTACAGAAAGAAGCAATCCCTCCAACAGAATGCGACCACTGGCTCTACTTCCTGCCACCTGCAGTGAGTCAGGGAAGAATGGAGCCCCAGGCTGCTTCTGTCCTGATGCATGCGTGCCTGCACACACACAGGAAGGGTGCCAACCTGGGCTGGCCAAAGGAAGTGCTCAGGCTAGCAGATCCCCAGAGAGATGGCTCCACAACTCTTTCATCCTGAGGTCCCCTTGGGGTCAGGATGACCGAGACATGCACTCCACAAGACCCGCTACATGGCAGTGCCAGGAAACTGGGTTCACCAGCACCACAATCATCCACAGTAGACCGACCTTTTTGAAACCAGTGATGCAATGTGAGGAGGTCCCAGCAGCAGGGACTCACTGGGCCCAACACGTGCCAGGTCCATATTTTTTTTGATGGAGATCTTTCACCACTTTGTTTAACTAACATGCACTAAAGCCAGGCATGGTGGCTCAAGACTGTAAACCCAGCACTTCAAGAGGCCAAAGCGGGTGGATTTCTTGAGCCCAAGAGTTCAAGACCAGTCTGGGCAACACAGCAAAACCCCGTATCTATAAAAATACGAAATTAGCCAGGTATGGTGATGTGTACCTGTAGTCCCAGCTACTTGGGAGGCTGAGGTGGGAGGACTGCTTGAGCTCAGAAGGCTGATGTTGCAGTGACCTGAGATCGTACCACTATGCTCCAGTCTGGGAGACAAAGACCCTGTCTCTAACAACCAAAATAAAAAAGCACTGAACACTTGCTAGATGCCAAGCATTGTGCAAACCCTTCAGAACTCACACTAAAAGCAGAGGCTACCATAATACTGAAATGTGCTTTAAGCATTTTACATATACTAACTCACAGAATCCTCACAGCAACTCTCTGAAGGAGATACTGTACAGGTAATCTAGCTCAGAGTCTTTGTTTTTAACCACCACACTACAGTGTGTACACAAATAACTACATAAGGTAGAAATGAGTGTTCAGAAGATGCCTTCAGCCTTCAGAAGTGGCATTTGAATCAGGACTAGAAGGACAAACCAGAAACCCCAAGCCACTTTGTGGTCCCCTCCCCAGCACGAGCAAGAGAGGGGCTATCAAGGCCAAAGATTCCTGAACTGGGTCCATTCCCCTTCCCCTCTTCTGTCAGAGGTCTTGGCAACGCTGGGCAGCCTTTCTCTGGGGACTGTAGCCACAGGAGGCCCCCAGCTGAAGTCCATAACTGCATGTTGTCTTCTCTTTTTTCCCACATATTGAAAGCAGCAGCCCACAGGGTCAAACACTGGGGCTATTTTTAAATCTCACATGTAAAAATTAAATTCTCATCCACATGGGCACTCCAGGGCACTCTTTCCTGGGGTGAGGTGAGGAGCTGACAGAGCCACAGGAGTGGGGGTTCTGCTGACACTTGGAGATGCCACACTGGCAGTGGGTAGGTTGCTCTGGAGCAAGCTGGAAAGCTGTATGACCTGGGGGCATCCTCCAGGTTCTTCACCCCCTTGTCCCCGGGGGAGCTACACAGACCAGAGTAACCAGCCAGAAGCCAATCCAATTAGAGTGGAGACTGAACCAGGGCCATGCAAGAAGATGGTTTATCACCGTAATTGAATGTTTACACTCCTATTATTCACTGTCCAGAGCAGTCGGAAAAGGAGGACCTACGAATTCTCAACCCAGGAAGGTTTCTCCTTCCCCCGGGTCCTGAAGCCACATAACACCTGAAGAAAGGATGCATTTCTCTGATCCAAAAGGGGCGTGTGCCACACATTCCGTGGGAGGCTCTGGAGAAAGACAGGTGGCTTCTCCCCTCAGCCCCCTAGGGAGAACTGGCTTCTCAATCCACCTTCAGCAGGCCTTCAGTCTCAACCCTGAAGCTGCAGGAATAAGAAGATCCCAGACCACCAGGCCAGGCTCACCCTGCCGGGGCAAGCTAGACATCCCCTCCTCCAGCCACAGCTGCCAAAAGGGATTCCCTGCACACGCGTGCCACCGCAGCTCTCGTGGCCAGCTCCTCTTCCCCCATCCCACGGACCACCCCCCCCCGCGCGCGCGCGAGACTCCACAGGCTGGCACACAGGTCCCACGTGGGATGTGGAAACAGGAAGCAGCCACCGAAGTTGTGACCAACAAAGTTTTTAAATGGGGCATGTAACTTCCCCTTTCATCTCACCAGCTCTCGCTGGAGGCTGGGCCGGGACGGACACGCGGCCTCCACTTTGGTTGGCAGGTACCTCCTTCAGATTGGGCCGCCTTGGGGCTGAAGCCTGAAGGTCCCAGGGCACAAGAGGCTCCCCTTCCTCCACTGGGCCCTTACCCAGAGGCCTTGGGGGCAACCTGGCACACACACTCCTGCATTTGCGACTTGGGAGGCGACGCGACCGGCTCCACCAAGCCGACCATATGCAGGGACTAGCCGAATCCAGGGTTTTGGCGCTGCCGCTAGGCACCACGGAACGCAGCTCCCCGCGAGGCGCCGCGCGGGCTGGGCGGGCTGCGGCTGCGCGGGCGTGCGGGGGCGCGCGGGAGCGCGCGGGAGGATGACAGGTCTGAGGTGCGCCCGCCCGCGCAAACCGCTCCAGCCTAGGCCTCTGCTGACTGCACTTGCCCCAGTTCCCCGCCGCCCCTGCACCTCTGTCCCCCGAACTCCCGGCGCGGACGCCGCGTCCAACCCCCCCACTTTCCCGTGCACGCTGGCAGGGGAAGGGGCTCCCGCGCCAAGTTCCCTCAGCTGGAGAGCCCTTCGTCGCGCCTTCTGGGCCTTGGCTCCGTCACGCCAGCCGGTCCCTGCGGACACCACGTTTCTCTCCCGCGGAGGAGGAGCAGCCGGATTCCCGAGTCGCCGCGGGCCGCCGGGTGGGGAGGGCTTTCCTGGTGGGGCCGCGCCCGGGTGGGCGGGGGCCGCGCGCAAGCTGCGTAGCTGCACAAACACCGCGGGGCTGCGCTGCACACGCAGCTGCGGCTGCGGGCCGCGGGGGAGGGGGCGGCGGGCTGCAAGCGGCCCCCGCACGGCCACACGCGCCCATCCAGCGCCGCCCAGGCAGCAGAAGTTCGCACGCGGCGGCCCCCGCTCCCGGCCGCGCCCGCAGAGCTGCAACCCACCGGGCGAGCGGCCACAGCTCACGCGCCGCCCGGGGTCCCCTCGCCGGCCCCGCCGCGTGCAGGCCTCGGCCGCCGGCCGGGCAGCCCCACTTACCCAGCTCCTGCCCGGGCTCCGGCCTGGGCTGTCCCCCTTCCACCGTGGGCCGCCGCCTTAGGTCGCCTCCGGGACTCCAGCCGCCTGCACGCACTCCCGATTTTAAAAACAAACAGGCGCCGTCGCCTCCCCGCGGCGCTCGCGGGGCTTCGCCAGCCCGCACCCCGGAGGCTGGAAGTTTGCTGGCAGGGCCCGGGCGGGACGCGCGGGCTGTCACCCCCCCGCTCACGATGCAGGAGCTTCGGCGCGCCCCTGCTGTCCGCCTCGCGAGCACTCTCCCTCCCTCCGTGTCACCCCCAGTCCTGCGATGCAGTGTCAGGATTGCACGGCTCTGACTCATCGGTTGAGCTCACAGCTTGAAAAAAAAAAAGACAGAAGAGGGCGAGAGGCAACAGCGAAGGAGGAGGACTCTCTGGCGTGCTACAAAGGATTGCACAACTCGAGGCTGGGAGCGCGGAGCGCCCAGCGGCCGGCCGGCGCGCGCGGCACCGCGGCGAGCAGGAACCAGCTCTACCACTTCATCAGCACAACTGTCTCGGGGCGGCCTCAGCCAGCAGGCCCGGCGCCGCCCACTTCCTGCGACCAAATAAGGCTGGGGAAGGCGTCTTTAAACCTCAGGCGGCGGCCGGGGCTGGGGATTTCCAACAGACCTCACCTCCACTCACAAGTCGGTCGCCACCCTCCCCCCGCCCAGGCTGGCGCCCCCGATGGCTTTGCTGGAACCCACGGGCCATGCTGCTAGTTCCTTTCACACAAGGTCAGGAGGAGACGGTGACGAAATGTTTGGAAACCCATCGAGCCTGCCAGGAAAGTCTGTGTGTGATGTTGGGGAAGACACAAGTCGCTTTCTTCCACAAAGAAACTCACTCTGGTTTTGGATACGGTAAATCCTGCACGGTCCTCTCCGAGGCACTTTATTAACAGACTCCCCAGGTTTCACTTTCTGGCTCACCAGCGTCCTGGTGCATGTAAAGGTTATTGAGAAACTAGCCTCAGTCCCTAGAAAGGGCCTACATCTCCACCACTTACGTGAGGAAAATCTGGATTTAATTCTGGCAGCTCAGGCCAGAGTTGCTGCTTTTCACTCCATACTCACATTTTCCCCTGCCTTCCCTAAATATCCCCCTGATCGATTCTCTGCCCCAAGCCTTGATGCCTCCTTGCCTGACTGGTGGAAAGACAGGAAACATTTTTGCAGCTCAGGAGGTTGGTTCTGGCCCCTACATTCAATTCGGCTCTAGGGCCAGGGGAAAATTCAGGGGAGGGAGTCCTGTTCTTCCAAGTTTTTTGGTGTGGTGGTGGTGGTGGTGGCTGTTTTTCAAGGAGATGGGTCAGAAGGAGATTTTTCCTTTGAAAGAAAAACCACCGAAGAATACAGTGTGTCCTGGCAGCTACTTTTCAAAACGCTGTGGCCAGACCTGAGAACCAGGTGCATCCCTCACTTTCTCAGGGAGGAGGGAGGGGCAGCAGAATATGATTCTCACACACTCACTGAGCTTACAGGGCCAGGGTGGGGAGTGGAGGACACAGGCAAAACTTGGATCTTCTGCTTAGAAACTCTGCAAAACCTGCACTTGCTCCTAACGGGCATGGCTGTCCTGTCCTCTTCCACCTCTGCTGGCTGGAGCACCTGCCTACACCTGGAAGTCACACCTCCCCAAGAGGAAAAGGGCCTATTTCCACGATGTTACGACAGATATGTCAAAATAAGGAACACTTACAATAATCTTATCTGCAAAATACAGATAATTATGCCAGAGGATATCCCTTCCAGTTGAAGATCCAGGATTCTGTGATTATAATAAGTGAAGAGTGGAGCTAGGGAAACCACCTTCTACAGAAAAAAAAGCCCAGGTTCCCAGATTTAGCATCCATGATGACAGTACTGTTCCTGGCAGTTCTCAGAGCACTTCGTACAGTCTCCTGAACAGCTCTGCATGCGAGAGTTTTACCCTTCTCATTCTGTGGATGAGAATACTGAGGTTTTCTCATCTGAGGTTCAGAGAGGTTAAGTGAATTGCACCAGGACACAGGGCAAGCCAAACATCTGTTACCTCTCTGCTCCTCCCCCAGAGGAAGGCAGTGAGCAATTGAGGAACTGCAGTGCTCAGGCATGCAGACCCCTAAGCAGAGGCAAGACTCTCAAGACTCCTGGCAGAGGATCAGGGTAGAACCTTTTTACTTTTTTCATTTGCCTGATTTCTTCCCTCCCACTGACAAGACAGCCAAGTGAGGGAAGCAAAAGCAAAGCCATTTGGTCTCCAGTGCCCAAAGCTGCCAAGTTCCTCTGCAGACCTGTGGCCATCCTGACCCTCCCCTGAGAGCCCAGCCCCTGCAGCTGGCCTTAGGCCAGCCCAGAGTGAGCCCCTGAGAGCTGGTGCAGACCAGCCCAGGGATGTTCCCAACCAACCAGAAAACCCAGCTGGGGAGCACATTCCTAGAAGAGCCTGCCACCATGGAGCCAGGGCCCAGCCTTCAGGGAACAAGTGGGAGCCACTCCAAAGGGCACTCCTCAGCCCTGCCCCGCCACGACTTCCTGCCTGTCCCACACCAGGCTGCAGGATCTGGCCCAGGAAGTAGCACATGGAGTGGAGGCAGGTGGCAGGGGAAACAGAGAGGTCAGTGGCCCTGAAGGAGCCTTGCTCACCTTGGAGCAGCACTACCTTTCCCTACAACTAAACTTCCATACTCAGGCCACCTAAGAAAGGAGAAGAGAGAAGAAAAGGGGCACACATGTGTGCAGGGGAGGAGGGCTCAAGACCATACCAAATAGCCCCCGCTTGGCAGGAGGAGAAGTCTGCCTCGAAAAGGCGGGCAGATGAGACTATGTAAAGAAAGCTGCAGTGCTTCTGGGAAAGCCCTGGAGGTCAGTTTTGCTGCAGATATGACAGTGCAGAATCACTGATGTGTGAAGTGAAAGTTTTGGTTTTAGAAGCTCTAGCCCCTCCTGCAAGCCTCTGGGGCAACCAAGAAGAGTGACCTTTCAGAGAGGTAGGGAGGTGTTCCAGAGAACTTATCCACAGAGTGGGATTTTTCTCCACCCTCAACCCTCTGTACAAACTGCAAGTAAAAGGAGTACAGAGCTCCAGCTACCAGGGAGTGTGTCTGACGAGAGAAAAACACTCCAGGAAGTAAAGCACCTTAGACAGATTCCTAAACTCTGATTCCCAATGAAGGTAGAATACAGCACTTGAAAGGCTTCCTAGGACTACATCAGCTCTCCGGACTCCACTCAGAGCGGTCTGTCACTGCTCTTTGTTTCATCAACAGTATCTAGACCTAAAATCTTCCAAGGGTGAGGCCAGGCACAGTGGTTCACACCTGTAATCCCAGCACTTTAGGAGGCTAAGGCAGGAGCATCGCTTGAGCACAGGAATTTGAGAACAGCCCAGGCAATGTGGGAAAACCTGGTCGCTACAAAAAAATACAAAAATTAGGTGTGGTGGTGGGTCCCTGTGGGCCCAGCTACTGAAGAGGCTGAGGTAGGAGGATTGCTTGAGCCCATGAGGTCAAGGCTGCAGTGAGCTGAGTTCACGCCACTGCACTCCAGCCTGGGTGACAGAGCAAGACTTTGTCTCAAGAAAAATGAAAATCTTCCAAGGGTGGATTTTATGGTATGTGAAGTATATCTCAATAAAGCTGTTACGAAGTTGGGGGGAAATGTTCAAGGAAGCCAGGTTCTCACCTCCCAGCCACCTTCCTCCAATAACATTCTGCTGCCATCATCACTATTTCAGAGAAGTGTCTTTCTCCCCAGACTCCATACCTGCATGCCTGTCCTTCTTCCACTGTTCCTCCTCCAACGAGGCCAGCACGCATGGTGTGTTTAAGTAAAACACCAACCTTTAGCAGAGCCTGGGGAATTGGGAGTGCAAATACTATTGAGGGCATCCCAAGTCCACTATGCCAGGTCCTTGTGTGCCTTATGTTCGTGTGTCCCTATTGTCCCATACTTTAGTTCTTCTACAGAACTAAAGAAAGAGAAGGGTGTAGAAAACACAGAGAACTCAGGAAAATGGTCACTCTTATGACCTTTTTAGGCTCATAACATATGCACCGTGTTTGTGGCATGAACAATGAAAGGATGCCCACCTTCCAGGGGCTTGAGAGGATCAAAAGGATAAAAAACTACTTTATAACTCGATCATGCTATATACATAGAAGAGGCTGCAATTATTATTTTAACTGTTTTACCCTGTATTTCCTCCCCAACCTACCTTATCCCTTGTTAAGAACCTAGTTCCAGGCCCAGCGTGGTGGCTCACTTCTATAATCCCAGCACTTTGGGAGGCCAAAGTGGGCAGATCACCTCAGTCCAGGGGTTTGAGACCAGCCTGGTCAACATGGTGAAACCCCATCTCCACTAAAAATATAAAAATTAGCTGGGTATGGTGGCACACACCTATAGGCTGAGCTACTCAGGAGGCTGAGGCATGAGAATTGCTTGAATCTGGATGGAGGTTGCAGTAAGCCCAGATCATACCACAGTACTCTAACGTGGGTGACAGAGGGAGACCCTGTCTCAAAAAAAAAAAAGAAGAACCTAGTTCTTTTACCTTAAAAGACTCCATTGGCCTTAGGGTAACCCTCTCATGGGCTCTGCCCAGAGAGACTTTTTCCAGCATTGACTCAATGTCTCATCTGGGTTATCCTCCAAGGCTTCTCTCCCAGCCTGTTCTCTGTGTTCTTTCCACCACACTTTTCCACAGGACTGTCCTCCCAGCCTGAGTAGGGACAGTCCTCTAACAGCTGTGTCTTCTTCTCAGCCTTTTTGCCAGGTCTTTTCTGAGCAAACCGGCAGCTCACAACCACCCCAGTCATGTGTGCTGATACGGCTCTGCACTGTCTTCTCTTTTACCCTTGGAAAAAACCCCAGGGGACCCTCCTCCTCAGCTCACATTGACTTCACCTGTTCTGGGACAGGGCCATGCTTGCCACACCAGCCCACAGCTGTCTGTGTCCCTGGCCCTCCCACCTGCCCCCTCCCCAGCCTCCCTGCCCTGCAGGCCTGGGCCAGGTTCTGAGTGCCTTTGTCAGGACTGAGAGGGAGCCTCTGTACATGTCCCCAGTTGCTGCTGTCACTCTGGAAAAGACGTCTGGCCGGGTGTAGGAAGAAGGACAAAACAGGTGTGGCTGCCAGGGAGGGCAGGCCGGCAGAGCCACAGCACAGAAACGCCCTTTCTTCATAGAGCGAGACTGCCAACTTCTCAAAGGCCTCACTTCGGCACAGTTCCATGCCCTCTGCAGAACCAGTCCCAGACAGACTTCCTCACTGGCTGTTCACTGGAGCTTGGCTTCCTTGTGTTGTGGCAATGGGCCAGGAGGAACAGGAACTCCAGAGACCCAATGTGTGCAACAGGGCATGCTTTAAAGCATTGATTTTAAATGAAAACAAATACCGATACATCATGGACTGGAATCCAACATTTATGTTCACGGGGGTGTACAGGTTAAGAGCACAGGCTGAGACCTGAGTCCAGATCTTGACTCGCACTAGTTTGATGACCTTGAGGGAGTTACCCAACCACTCATCTGCAAAATGGGAATGATAAGAGTTTACTTAAACAGTGTCTGGCACACATTAAGTCTTTTATAAGTGTTGGCTATCATTTTTTCTCATCGCCTAACTGATTTCCTTGCTTCTAGTTTTGCACACTTTACCATCCACACTGCCATCAGAGCGATCACACCTCTCTTCAGTAGCTCCCATCATCTACTGCATAAAGCTGAGACTGTTAGCTAGACTGTTAGGCACCTTTCCCACACGATCTGGCTATGCCCCACTTCCCAGCCTCAGCCCACACTGCTAAACAACCTGAAGTTCTCCAAGATGCCTGCATTCTCACCCTCACATCTTCACACATGCTCCTTCTCTCACCACCTTGATCCCCACATTAACCCACACCCAGGTCTCCCTCCAGACTTGACCTTAATGCCAGCTCTTCCATGAAGCCTTCATTCATTGACTCCTTCAAGTAGAGGAAGGCCACTGGAGTGTGTGCTGTTGGAGCCCTCCCAGATCTACTTTGTAAAGTTGGTGCACTGTCTCCCAGGTGCTCTGAGTGTTGACTTCCAAGGACTCACATCTTCCCCCTTCTCAAAAGGGGCCTTTGCTGGGACCAGTTCTGTAGTGGTGCAATTTATGCTCCAGCTGCAACACACACCTCCTTGCTTGGCTTCTTCCCCGGGTCTGTCCTGCTTCCCCTCCTCCCTTCCTCCCTTCCTCCAGAGAGCATTTCTTAAATAAATCCCATGCACCCAAACATCTGTCTTTGCTCCTAAGGACCAGAACAGCCACTCTGTTCCCTAAACTCCCATGGCATCCTCTGTTTATCTTTACTCCATCACCTACACATTGTCCCACACCTGCTTATTGCACCATATCTGGGATCACAGTGCCATCTGCTAGAATGGGAGTTTCTGAAGGGCACAGCCTAGACCTTCCTCACCTTGGTACCCCGGTATCTACACAGTGCCTGCACATGGTGGGTGCTCAGTGAATGCTTGTTGATAGATGCATGAATAAAACAGTATATGTGAATATTTAAAGTAAGCAATACAATGTAATAGATTGTTGTTACTTTTATTACTATTCTATTTCATTGATTCTAAGATACACATTTCCTACACTTTAACATCTCTGAAATCAAGATGCCTCTTACAATTGATAGCTTATATAGTTTAATTAGCAGCACTTCCTCTTCCTTTTTTTTTTTTTTTGAGATAGAGTCTCACTTTGTCGCAGAGGCTGAAGTGCAGTGTCACAATCTTGGCTCACTGCAACCTCCACCTTCTGGGTTCAAGTGATTCTTCTGAGTCAGCCTCCCAAGTAGCTGACACTACAGGCCCTTGCCACCATACCTGGCAAATTCTTACGTTTTTAGTAGAGATGGGGTTTCATCATGTTGGCCAGGCTGGTCTCAAGCTCCTGACCTCAAGTGATCCACCCGCCACAGCCTCCCAAACTGCTGGGATTACAGGTGTGAGCCATCACATCTGGCCTGTTTCTTAGCTATACATAAAATAACACTACATCTTTTTTTTTTTTTTTTTTTTTTTTTTTTGAGATGGAGTCTTGCTCTGTGGCCCAGGATAGAGTGCAGTGGTGCAATCTCAGCTTACTGCAACCTCTGCCTCCCAGGTTCAAGCAATTCTCCTGCCTCAGCCTCCTGAGTAGCTGGGATTACAGGCATGAGCCACCATGACCAGCTAATTTCTGTATTTTTAGTAGAGATAGGGTTTGCCATGTTCGGCAGGATGGTCCCGAACTCCTGACCTCGTGGATCAGCTCATCTCAGCCTCCCAAACTGCTGGGATTCCAGGTGTGAAACACTGCACCTGGCCGTAACACTACATCTTTTAATCAATGGCTTCTTAGTTTCAGTAGTGTATGGTATTATTATTATTATCAGTAACTACTGAGGCTCAGTCTCCTGGATTCTGGGGCTTCCACTGCAAAGCCCAATATGATGCCCATTATCTGAACTCAATAACTGTTGGGCAGACAGGTTGTCATAGGGGCTGGGCATGGTGGCTCAGGCCTGTAATCCCTGCCTCTGGGAGGCTGAGGCAGGAGGATCACCCTTGATGCTAGGAGTCTGAGACCAGCCTGAGCAACACAGCAAGACCTGTCTTGAAAAAAAATCAAAAAAATTAGCAAGGTAGGGTGGCATGCACTTGTAGTCCCAGCTACTCGGGAAGTTTGAGGTGGGAGGATTGCTTGAGCACAACAGTTTGAGGCTGCAGTGAGCTATGATTGCACCACTGCATTCCAGACTGAGCAACATGAGGAAACTCTGTCTGTCTCAAGAAGAAAAAAAAAAAAGCTCTCCTAAGATAACCTACAATTTCCCAGTGTTAAGAAGGACCCCTGTGTCCAGACATCTCTGGAAACTCCCATGAAAGCAGGCCGCCGTAACGTGGAACAAGCTCTGCATTGGGAGTCATGAAGAAAGGTTCTAAGCCTAGTTCTTCCTCTAATTTTCTGGATGACCTACACAGGATTTTCTCTCACCTATGGAGCAGGTACTAAATGCTTCACATTGGCCTGGCATACTGTTCACAACTGTAATTCCAGCACTTTGGGAGGCCAAAGTTCAAGACCAGCCTGGGTCACATGGTGAAACCCTGTCTCCACCAAAAAAACAAAAATTATCCAGGGATGGTAGTATGTTCCTGTAGTCCCAGCTACTTGGGGGGCTGAGGTGGGAGGATTTGCTTGAGCCAGGGAGGCAGAGGTTGCAGTGAGCCGAGATCACGCCACTGCCCTCAGCACTCTAGCCTGGGTGACAGAGAGAAACCCTGTCTCAAAAAAGTTTTAAAATAAAAAATACATGCTTGAGATGATATGAACCTACTGGGTCCAACCCCAGCACCCTGGAAGGAAGCCATTTTCCTCATTTTATAGATAAGGAAGCTGAGGTTCAAGA